ACACATACAAGATGACTAGTGTACCAGGTATGTCTCTCATCTCCCCTATCTGGTTTGTAGTGACATGGCTTGCTTTCCATTGAGTAGGTTGTGTGGAGGGTATGGGTCAGCAGATAGTACTGTGTTGAATGTCTAGCCATAGCAAATCCTGTCTAGTAGCTAGTCTGAGCAATTATACACTGTTTATTGTGTTCATCAGCCAATGCCCCCCTTTTTGTTCCAGGGATCTGGAATATCAAGCAAAAGACAGCTGATAGTCTGATTATGGGTCAAAGCAAGCTGGCCTGAGCTTGTAATATGTATAAGTCTGGTACATATTGTACTTCTTGTGGGAGTCTTGCAACATGTGCCATCCGAATATAATGGCTGGCCCAGCCGTCCACAAGTCTGGTACATATTGTAATACCGGTACTTATTTTAATTGATTATATGCTAATGGTATTCAGATACCAGTTATGGGAAGATTTGCTGATGGAGAGCCCCCAGACGGTGTTGGATTTCGGGAGTTGGGATCGAGCTTGCGAGCTCGCGCCGTGTTGCGCGTGGTCAGGGGGGACCGCCGCAGGCGGGCCCGACTGATAAGGTGATAAGAAAATTCATATATATTCGTTGTATCTACTCGATGTATGCGATTGCCCTTCGGGCAACCGACCGCCTGGGGCAAATGCACTCGTCTTCCGTTTGCTTGGAATATTTCAACAGACGGTCCATCATGCGTCTTGAGTGAGCCATAGAAAGTCTAAAGTCCATCGTAGGCTGTCCGGACAGCTTCCAGAGCACAAGCAAGGGTGAGAACACGCAAGTCCATATCAAAGCCACCATGAAAATTCAGGGCGTACAGGTCTTGGACATAGACAACATCAGTGCAAAAGACACTTGAGATTGATAGTTATGTCCCAGCCATAGTCAAGAGAACCGCTTGGCAAATGGAATGCTGGGTATACACAGCCTAAAGAACTGGACATTGTAAATGGCCAGGCAGAGGCGAGACTGTATGAGCTTACATAGGTAGGATCAGACAGCGACTTGAGATAATCGGCAATTACCTGCGCTTCTGGGTTGCCACCCATCCCTTTATCATTCTTCAGTGCAAAAATGAGAAACAGAGACCAGGATGCCCCCGGCTTTGCTGTTTGATCTGAAGTCAAGTTTTGCCACAATCCTACAGGGAAGAAGTCCTCGAGGCGAGGACGAACAGCTTGCTCACGCGCACTCTCCTTTTTGGAGAAAATGGCAGAGCTATGTAGGAGGTGCACAGCATTATGAAGCATTGTAGATGAGACATGCACTGTGAGGCAGGTCGTGATAGTCACGACATCAACAGCTCCGACTAGCAGAGCTAGTCAGGGACGGGTGACCAGCGCTAGATGCACCCCGTAAATCAGCTCCAGGTGACGTGTGGCTAGCAGCGCTTGCCGCAAGGTTCATGAGCTGAGATAGTCAATGGGATAGCTATGACTGTCTAGTGGTGAATAGCTGGACTTGTGCCCGCATGACCAGTGTTATCCACTGTTGGATTTCGGGAGTCGGGATCGAGCTTGCGAGCTCGCGCCGTGTGCGCGTGGTCAGGGGGGGACCGCCGCAGGCGGGCCCAACTGATAAGGTGATAAGAAATTCATATATATTCGTTGTATCTACTCGATGTACTGTACGCGATTGCCCTTCGGGCAACCGACCGCCTGGGGCAAACGCGCTCGTCTTCCGTTTGCTTGGAATATTTCAACACAATCGCGTCAACCCGCTTGGGGGGTCTAAATACCAAGCAAGGCTCTGGGGGCAGCCGTAAGCCCGCCGCTCGCTGCGCTCGCTGGTCTCGCGTCGTATGCAAATCTATTCGTCGTCTCGACTACGCTGGCTAGGATCAACTACCGTATGCTACCCTACGCCATGCCGCCGCCGTGTTCTCGCCGCCGTCGCTGACCGAATCCGCCTGCGGGGCCGAAGCCGCATCCGTTCGTTGTCGCCGTATCGCCGTCGTGTCGTCGCCGCCGCCGTACGCTCGTTGTCGCCGTGAACTGCCCGTTC